AATTACAAAATAGATAAATTCACTAGTTCTTTTAAGTTTTATTTTATATATCATGCAAAAAAATAATTTTGCAAAGTAAATTTGTATCAAATTTTTAAGATTATTTGTATTAATCAAAATGGATGAGATATCTGTAAATATTCGTAAATATCCGCAAATATCTATTTATTTTCCGGATATCCGTTTTTCCGGATATCCGTATTTTTTCGTAGCAAAGCAAATACCAAAATTAGATATCCGTAACATTCGAAGCAAATCACAAATACCTTAAAAACCCGGATATCCGATCCGTGCCCATAACAATGGACAAGTCCAGCTAGCAGTGTGACACTGAGATGAGAAAACTGACATGCGGCGATATTTACGATTAATTTTTTTTTTGACTAAGGACTTTCAATTACGATTAATTTTTGGACAGTATTTTTTCGAATTTTTTTTTTGTGTTTAAAGATAATACAGTTAAGGTTTTGTTTCCGTCATGGTCAATAAAATCAAATAACGATAAACATTTTAAGTCGGGCATTGCGAGAGAAAAATAACATTAAAAATTAGATTTAAAACAGGGAGAAGAGCTGTCCTAAGCTGCAAAACAACAATGCAGAATAATAATTTTTTAAATCTATTGATATCTAGAAGACTAGACATTATTGGCCGATATTCCTTGCTGTTCCATCATGAGTATTCCACATAACCTAAAGGCTCTAAAGCAGCTACTGTATGGTCTGTGAATCCAGTCTAATACCTCTGGAAATGAAACATTATTCCAATATGTGGATGTCTTATATTTGGGTCCTTGATTATATAGTGTTGCTTATGATAGATTGACAGTTTTCCGTTAACTGCCATTTGTATTCTTTCTTAATCTTAATATGAAATTGTTTCTAAGTAAAACCTTCCGTTGAATTTTCATTAAACTGTTTATATAATTGTGCTAGACGTTAGTTCTCATACGACATATAAGTGATTCTTTAGTCGTCTCTAGACTAAATACACTTTTAGTAATTTATAAGAACATTATTAAATCTCTCGAAATCGTTACGTTTGTACGTTATTTGTATTCACTTACCAACTTACCACTAACACCCTTGCATCAGTAAGTTCATTGTTTTTTGGAACAAATTAATCAGTGAATTGATTACTATATATACACTATGGTGAAAGACCCATTACTAATCGTGTTACACTGACTGGTTACGAACTTACGATATTGAAAAGAAATACTATATATAGCGTCACTTTTTTTTTTGAGAAAACTATTACAATGCTTTAAAATAAGGTGAATTAACTGATTTTCCTACATAGTTTTCCAGCAACTGATGGAGTGATGGGTAAGAGATCTTTATCATAGCTAAATCGTAAGTTTGTAGTTCTTTTTAGTGTTGGAATCTATCATAGCTAGATCGTATAATTTGGAGTTTTTATGTGATATTGTCAAGTCCAAAATATTAGTATAATAGAGATGTTATAGATAAAGCTCTGAATCAAAAGAAATTATCAACTAAAGGTCAAAGTACGTTTGGGCTAAGTTAATCTTTTTTTTTTTGAAACACTTTTTTTTTTTGAAACACTGGGCTAAGTTAATCTAAAAGCTTAAAAGTGTCCGTTTGATATGTACGTATAGAACGGGAACGGAATCAAAATCTTATTCAACACTATTAAGCTGGAGCTATAATTGTTAACTACTTGAATACTATTAATGTTAAAAGAATACTATATAAACACCATTAAAGGCGACTTATTTGAAGAATATACCGAAAATAGTGCCTTTTGTCATCTGTTGGATTAATTTAATAACTATGGAGTTTTATATCTTTAGTTAATAAGGAATATAATCGATCCTTCTGGAGCTAGAAGCCGACAAGATTAAAAATTATTCCGGTGACAAATTGGAAGGAAAAGGATCCTTTGGAAACAACGAGCAAAATAAAAAGGGCATGAAACTAAAAAGATGTAAACAAGTTTGGAGCCGAAACTTATATAAATTAAGAGAAAGTGAAAGCTAAAAATGGGTTAGAAGAACTGTGGAAATCGCACTGATGCTTGCAACGCCAAAGGAAAAACTACACGATTTCCAAATAACGGTTAGAACCAGATCGAAGGAGGTTACAGAAGATTTGAATACACATTTTCCAACCAAAATACACGATGATAGACACCTCAAAAGACGGAAAAATTTGTGATTTGTCCTCATTTTCTAATAGGAGTACAAATATATTTAGAAAGCTTTTTTTTATCACATTTCTCATCTCGAATATACGAAAGAAAAATTAAGATTTGAACCACACTTTATAATAATAGACTAATAGTACGTTATATTCGATGATTATGACGCTGTTACAACGTGATAGAAAAGTCATGCATCATGCATGTACCAAAATGTACGACTAGGAATCTTGCTATTGTTTTTATGATGCTCCCATTTTCAGAATTACATATTAATAACAATTCTCGAGGCGTTAACTTCACAAATCAAAGTTGAATAAATCAAATGATGCTTAAAGTTTTGATAAACCCATTCCTCAAATGATTAATGCCCCCAATAAAATAAATAGACCAAGGAGGTATGAGGAAGTTTCGTAGCACGGAGGTTACGGGCACCGACTACGTACGAGCGGCGCTGAAATTGATTAATTACGAAAAAAATGTTTTTAAATATTTTATAAATGAATAGGCCTCGTGTGCGCCACAAGAATTTTCTGGGTGCTAATTTATAATTGAAGCTTAACTAAGTTAACAACGTGAGGCAAGTCTGTCTTTTCTCTCAAATGGACAACACTTACAACCACAGTTGATCATAAAATATAGTAATATACTGTACTGTTTAGACCAAATCTACCGCATGTTGGGAAACTATAATTGTAGCTTATTAGTCATTAGATAAATTCTAACAAGAGAACGATTAGTCTAACTATAATGTTGCTTATCTTTATAATTTAATAATCACAATGGTGAAGATAACATTTCAAGAAAAAAAATGAATAGTATGGCTGTCATTTTTGGTCAAACTGTCAATGTATTGAAGTCTACTCTCCAGCCCCTGATTACAAATTTCCATTTTACCATTTGTTATTGCTTACGAATATGTAAAGATCATGAGCTTGTATGGGTGAACCAACTAAGCTATATGAACGTAAAAAGGTTGGAGTTAAATCTTTTTCTAAAGAAAAAAAAAATTGAGGCATTCTCCTTAAGAAAACTTTGTTTCGTGATTCGGGTTTCCTACTCTTATTTAAACAAAAGGGGGTTTGAGGCACTCAGACGTTGATTACGGTCTTTGGTGTTGGGTTGCTTGGTCTCTGTGCGTTGTAACTTCTTCTGTACTCTCAAAGATTGGCTTACTTCAGGTGGTGCTAGAGTGTACCTTCAGCTCACTGTCTTGGCTCATTTCTTGTGCACACCTTGAGGCGGTTGGGTTAAAACTCATTCTAAGCGGTTTTTGGGCTCCTATAGCTTTTGTTCCTGTCTCCTCTTTCTTGCTTATTACTTTTGATGCTAAGAATCCAAAAAACTGATGTATATCCATTGGTTGGTGTAAAAGAACGTATAAAAATCTCAAACCTTCTATGTGGTTAACTCTCGACTCTGAGCATCCACAAAGTTGCGGAACAGGATACTTGGAGACGAGTTTCATGTGCAATGCCCTTTCAAACACTTATCCAGATAATTTGGATTACTTGTTTTTGGGACTCCATTCTTCCCTCGGAAACTGCTTACAATTACCTGGAAGCATTGTGGATGCTCAGATTCGAGGGTGGGTTAAGGCCAAAGTCACTACGATATACGTACGTTTCATAATAATCAACGTTTTATAATTCTATTTTTTCGTAATGCAAATGATTTGATTTTTCCCTGCACAATATCTCATGTAGTAGATCTCAAATGAGTGAGAATCATGCTCTCCTAGTTCAAGTGCCGCTTGAGACGTATGTTCCAAAAGAACTGCACACCCGCTGGCCCCGACCCACAGAGTTACGGGCCCGCTCCAAATTGCGAAATATAGCATATATAAAAAGTGATAAAAATTAAAAATAAGAAAAAGCTGCTCTCTCATCTTCTCTATTAAAAGAGAAGTACCAAATTTATCTACTATTTAAAAGTCAAATTGGACTATGTCATTAGTTATTTAATATGACATATTTGATTGTTACTTAACTAATCAAATATATATTATTTTCAAAATATCTTAATAATTAATAAGATATTAATAATAAATGTATTTAAATATAAGAAAATCTGTTCAGAAAATCTAACAATATCTTACCAAAAATTCTAAATATTTTTTATATAAAACAAGTAATTCTTTATTTCGTTATTAAATATAATTTTAAATTAAATTTAATTGAAATAAAATATAAACTATATATTTAAAATTTTTAGCTATATATTTATAAAATAAATAATACCCGCACGGATGTGCGGGTCAAAATCTAGTAGTCGCATTATTACCAAATATGTCAATTTATTGCTAACCTAATTTGTTAAGAGGTCTACCTGATTTGGGTATGAGTTAATTAAAGATACTGATTTTTAAGTATTGATGATGATAATTATATAGTTTCCTTTAGGTAATGTAGATAACTAATTTTAGTTAGTTTACGAAGTAGCTTGATTGTCGTTAAACTCCTCACGATTATAGTCAATGTTAGAAAATAGACCAATTGAATATGTACGCTTGTTCTTCAAAAATATGAAGCATGACATCTAATTTTCTGAAGGTACTGGCCGTTTAAACTATTACATAATCTTATTTTTTTTTTTAAACTATAACGGAAGACGTTGTCAAACATATAGTATATGTTTATTTATAGAAACTAAATAAAACATAGAAGAGGTGTGACTGCGACTGCGAGCATAGGTGTATGTGTGACTGAAAAGGTCAACTAACAGTTTTGTTTAAAATTAATAAAATCGATAAAGGTTAGTTGCTTAGTTATGGATTTCTATACCAAATCCATACCATAAATTTCAACTCCCATCGAACCACTTCTTTCTTAGTTTGATCTTTCACATTAATAGTTTCATTGTCTGATTAATGTCAATTTTAGTGCTATTAGTATTAGGTAAAAAAATACCATAATTTATATATATTGCTTTGGGTCCAAATCTTCCAGCTGCGACTTATTAGGCTTCTTCTAAATTCGCTGGTAAAGTTCCATATTTAACATGGATCAATTCATAGGGTTAGTAGAAAAGCTTTCAGATATCTACATAAATATTACATGCAAATCAACAAACTTTACTAAAGCATACTATTATATAGGAAGTGAAAACCAAGTTGGGTCCATGTACTACACACATCATTTCAAATTCAAAAACGACAGACTTGTGGGCAAGTTAAATGGCAAGATGATTAGAGAGTTATGTTGCTTAAATTGCAAATTTGGTTATTTTACTATTTGGTTTGTGCTGCATCCATTTTTCCATTGGCAAAAAAATGCCTACCATTACTACCAACAAATATTGCGATGTAGGTATGGAATATGCAACGAATATACAAATATTTGAGCTAACAACTCTACAGTTCGGTATATTTGTGTGTTTTAATTTAAAATTTGACTGACACATACGAGAGTGAGAAGAGCATTACATACATATCTTCCTTAAATTAACTTTTTTGGTTCTGGACGAACCTTATTCAATTTGATTAGTGATTAGTCGTTAATTAGACCCCGGCCACAATATCAATCTCCGTGTTTATAAAGTAGTTATTTGAGTTCACATTAACCCTAAAATTTACTGGAGTATAGGTGGCAACTGGTAACATATATATTGCTTAACTAGGATAAGATCTGCGTCTTGCGCAGGGTGAATATATGTAATTAAAATATAAAATTTTAGTATTGACAAATTTAAAATTTACATATGATTCTTTTATATGTATTTGAAATATTAGAATTTTAGAATTTTTATATAATTATCTATACGTAGGATCAGAAACAATTGTAATTAGAACTGTAGATCAAATTTTAGAATTTAATGGACTCGATTTCATATATATTTTCACTTTTCAGTGTTCGAGTGACGGAAAATAAACGGAGTGTCACTGGACTTGATTGGTAGAGTATTAGCAAGTTTCCTAATGTTTTTGTAAGAAATAGTTGGTAAAATACTTGCATTTAAAATATATAAAGTTTCAAAATTAATTTAATATAATTTATTTCTTTGTCTAATAATATTAGAAAACTATATTTTTACAAATTATATTTTTTAATAATTTTATCAAAAATTAAGTTAAATTTTAAACTATTTTAAAAACTATATTTTAAGGTTTTCAAATACATATAAACAATTTAAAATTAATTATGGTCATGATTTAACATAACTATAATGATTCAAAAAATTAAAAATTAGCAAATAAAAAATTAACTCAGTTTTATATCATGATTTAACAATTTAAAAGTTAATTATGATTATGAGAAGTTTACGTTCACATGTCAATCCTGTTTATCTTCAATTTTTTTCTCTTGTTGTGTTTTTTTTATATTTTTGTTATTACTCGATATAAATATTTATTTTGAATTTTACTCTCATTTCGTTTGTTTGTTTTGACCTGAGATTTAGAAAATACTTAAGATTTAAAATAATTAAATAGATATATACTTAGGTTAAAATCTGCACTTTATGCACAATTAAGTATTTTATATTTATTATTTATTTTATATTTTCTGCATATTAGAAAATAATAAAATAAATAATATATAGTAAATAACTAAAAAATCAGTTACTATTATGGAATAAATTGACGTATGCATATAAATTTAACTATCACTTCGTTTATTCTTAATTAGGGTAAATAAATTAAAATAATCAATCTTATATATTGTATATGATATATAATTAAATTTAAATGATATAAACATAGTAATCTAGCACACTTTTAATATACATATTTATTAAATGAGTTTTTTACTCATATGATTTTATGATTATTTGCATATTTATGTAACAAAACTTTGCACCAACGAAACTTTTTTATGGTGAGAAGTTTAGTAGTTTCAATAATTTATAATCATTTTTTTTTAAAAATGACATATTTCAAAATTAAAATATTAACTTTTCAATATATGTTCAAGGCAAATATCAAAATATAAGTACAGTGAAACCTCTATAAATTAATAACGTTGGGACTACACCAAAACTAAAAATTTTATTAATTTATAGTGGTTATTAATTTATCGAGATATTAATTAAATCAAAAATTCAATTTAGGACTATGAAATTATATTAATTTATAGAGATATTAATTTATAGATTATTAATTTAAAGAGGTTGTGTTGTATGTATTTTCATACGATGTATAGTTTAATTAAAACGATATGAAATATATATATACTAAAATTATTTCGTCATATGGTCTTATAATCATTATATTTTAATATAGAAAAAAATAAAACCTTGATCCTAAAAGTTTATGTGAGACTTTTAACAGTTTTAGTAATTTATTCCCATTTTGAAAAATTCTAAATACAACATACACACAAAAAAATCTAAATTTTTATTATATGATTAATGTAATTGTGTAATTTATTTTAATAATAAATAAATAAACAAATTGAGAAAAAGTATATAGACTGTTATCAAATCTTTATTGTTTAAAATCATTAATTGTCATATATATATTTTAATCATATTAGGTAATTCCGTAGGTTTTATTTAAGGAAAACATGCGAAACAATAAATATTTAATATATGCGACCAACTATAGCATACGAAATATAATATTACTAGAGAGTATAACTTTTATACTATACATTATATCACATGCTCTAGAATCCTTGGGATTTGAAATAGAAGCCAAAAAGATATGCCACATGGGATTGGAGTTATTTTTAATTCTTACAAATTTAAGGTTATAACTTTTTAAATGATTCTCAAATAATATATAGGGGATGTTACGCACTTTCGAAATTTTTACTGCTTCAAAGCTACATATATTAATCCAACTTAATCCATAGTCATATTTATAATCAAAACAAACAAATTAAAATGAATCTTTGATAATAGTTGGAGGATCCTAGTAACAAATCAGTCCAGTGGGTGAACCAAATCAACTAAAGCGTTGTGAATTTTCATTTAATTTTCTCCGTCCTGCTGACTCTAAACCTAATAGTAGTACGATTTTAGTAAAATATACTAAAAAATTGTCAAAATGCTAACGAATTCACAAACAGCTATGTTGTTTCAGCTCAAGTGTTTCCCGCTTAGTGTGTATATATACCACTCCTCTCTCCTGTAAACTCACACAACACATCTCCAACACATCTTCACAATACAACATTAATGGAGTCTTCTCGAGGGTTTTCCTTTCTAGCCTTCATCGCAATTCTTGCCTGCTTTGCTTTTCTAGCTTCAGCTGAACTTCACGTCCGTGAATTTGTGGTAAGCTGGCTTATCTCGTTAATACAATAGCTTCTTTGTATTGTCTTTGCATTAACGAATGTTTTTGAGTATGTTTAATCGATGATTGTTTCTTTTTTTCTCTTTGTGCACGACTTTAGATCCAGCCAAAACCAGTGAAGAGGCTGTGCAGAACTCACGAAAGCATCACCGTGAATGGCCAGTTTCCTGGTCCAACGCTTGAGGTCAGGAACGGTGACTCTCTCGCAATCACCGTCATCAACAAAGCTCGTTACAACATTAGCATTCACTGGTAGCTAAATTGGTTATATCAACAAACATAATGTTATGTTCTGCTCTGTTTTTATACTCTGTTTTTTCGGTCAGGCATGGAATCAGACAGCTGCGGAATCCGTGGGCTGATGGTCCCGAGTACATAACACAATGTCCAATCCGTCCAGGACAAAGCTACACTTACAGATTCACAATCGAAGACCAAGAAGGTACTCTTTGGTGGCACGCTCATAGCCGGTGGCTAAGAGCCACCGTCTATGGTGCTCTCATCATTTACCCTCGTCTTGGGTCTCCTTATCCATTCCATATGCCCAAACGTGACATCCCAATCCTTCTTGGTAAGAACTTAAAACTTTTCTGACCACTTTAAATTGTATTTTCTATGGTAAAAAACCAAAAATGTGATCATATTTGTGGTGGAAACAGGGGAATGGTGGGATAGAAACCCAATGGACGTTTTGAGACAAGCACAGTTCACAGGAGCTGCAGCTAATGTCTCTGACGCTTACACAATCAACGGCCAACCAGGGGATCTCTACCGCTGCTCTCGGTCCGAGACCGTTCGTTTCCCGATCTTCCCCGGTGAGACGGTCCAGCTCCGTATCATCAACGCTGGATTGAACCAAGAGCTCTTCTTCGCTGTTGCCAACCACCAGCTCACTGTGGTTGAAACCGACTCCGCCTACACTAAACCATTCACCACAAGTGTCATCATGATCGGTCCGGGCCAAACCACTAACGTCCTTCTCACCGCAAACCAACGACCTGGCCGTTACTACATGGCAGCTCGTGCCTACAACAGCGCAAACGCACCATTCGACAACACAACCACAACCGCTATCTTAGAGTATGTCAACGCTCCAACTCGACGTGGTCGCGGCCGTGGCCGTGGCCAGATTTCTCCGGTTTTCCCGGTTCTTCCGGGGTTCAACGACACTGCAACCGCAACTGCTTTCACAAACCGTCTGCGGTACTGGAAACGAGCTCCAGTACCGCTTCAGGTCGACGAGAATCTCTTTTTCACCGTCGGTTTGGGACTGATCAACTGCTCCAACCCCAACAGTCCACGCTGTCAAGGTCCTAACGGGACCAGGTTCGCGGCCAGCATAAACAACCAGTCCTTCGTGTTACCACGAAGAAACTCCATCATGCAGGCTTATTACCAAGGCATGCCAGGTATATTCACGACCGATTTCCCGCCTGTTCCACCGGTGCAATTTGATTACACCGGGAACGTTAGCCGTGGGCTATGGCAGCCCGTGAAGGGAACTAAAGCGTACAAGCTTAAGTACAAGGCTAATGTTCAGATTGTGTTACAAGACACAAGCATTGTCACGCCTGAGAATCATCCTATGCACTTACACGGGTACCAATTCTATGTTGTCGGGTCTGGTTTCGGCAACTTTAACCCGAGAACTGACCCGGCTCGGTTTAACCTGTTTGACCCACCGGAGAGGAACACCATTGGTACACCTCCAGGTGGTTGGGTTGCTATCCGGTTCCAGGCTGATAATCCAGGTAAATAATTAATTAATCTTGAATTAAGCGAGTTAATCTGATATTAAAAAGGAATTTTGACATAGTGTTTCTTTTATAATAATGCAGGAGCATGGTTTATGCATTGTCACATTGATTCGCATTTGGGATGGGGTTTAGCGATGGTTTTCTTGGTTGAGAACGGACGTGGACAGTTGCAATCTGTGCAGGCTCCACCGTTGGATCTTCCAAGATGCTAATAAATGTTATAACGTTTGTTCTAAGGTCTTGTGGGATTATGTTTTGCTTTATTTTAATCAGAAAGGCTTTTGGGATCTTTGAACCTGTGTTGTGGTTAAAAGTTGTTCATCTTTTGGTTTCCATCTACTCTTTCTTGTTACTTTCTCGTAATAGAGTGTCTTGATTTATCCAATTTAAAGATTATCAATGAAAAGCTTATGTTGCAATTTGATATAATCATCCTCTTCTAGCTTACTTTCCCAAATCTCATATAAGATTCTTCTCTATAGATTGCATCTCGGTTCTGTAATTGTAATATATGCCATTCAAGAAAAATTTATGCTTCTTCTAAACAAAAATAGTCAGCAGTACAAAGCTACAAAACTTAAATAGCTTTGTTAGAGATTCGAACTTTAATAAAGATGTATGTATTATTGGTTGAATTCGATCTTGATGTATATACAACTGTGACAAAAATTCAAATCTCTTAATTATATAGTGTGTTTTCAAAAAATTGAGTTTTTAACGTCTAACTATATAGATATCATATTCAGTTTAACATGTTAATACATATACTACAACAAACAAATTTTTAAAAAGAACACAAAACTCGAAAAATGGTAACATAATGCTTCTAAACTTATCTGTAGAATAGAGTGATACGTTAGCTTTATCCATTTTTTTTTCTCGTAACACTAGCTTTATTCATCTATGTTGTTGATTTTATATGATCTAGATCTTATTTTTTCATCTATTGTGATCAAACATTTTATACATTTTTCAATGAACACTGGATAAAATTAGCAACATGTCTCATACACTCCCGCATCATAAGGTAATAATATATAGGTGTTTTATTATTATCACTTTCTATGACTAGGATAGAGTTCTTCTCCATGTTTGCTGCTCTCCTGGTTCCGCTTTTTGTTTGATTTTGAGTGTTCCTTTGCTTTATTGTGCCTTATGGTAGCTACCTTTTATGAATTGTTATGTCTTTGTCCTGATTTTTTTTGGTTTCGGAGAAATGTTTCTCACTGATTTGTATCTTTGCGTTGTTGAATATTTTGTGGTTAATATAAGTATTTTACAGTGAAGGAAAAAAAAAAAGAGAGAGTAGGATATTCATGTTTGTAATCGATAAACACAATTCAAATTGTGTTTATTTTTCAACATCATCATCTTCTGAATTCGTACCACAGACTAATCATAGATTCATATTGGCCATTAATGAATTTCGCCAAAAAACCCATGTTGCATCAAAACCTTATCCTCGACATTGTGATGCGACAACCTCTACAAGCTTATTGATGAAGTAAAAGAGAAGATTAAAAACCATGATCAACTTAATGGCTGAATCAGATAAATTTTGCAGCAGCAGTGTTAAAAAAAAGAAAAAAACTATTTCGTGCTAGTAAAATGAATTATTTGTTGTTGTCATTTGTCCGATGTAAAGAAAAAAAAAACAGTTAGGTGCGGTTGATACGCTCTTCTCAACTTCCTCCATCTACCATCTTCTTTAACTCCGCTTAAATCTCTCTCTCTTTTTTTTAATACTACTTGTTGTCTGAATGCGCTCACTGTTTCACCGCACCACCCTACGCACCCCTCCTCCGGCTCATTCCCTTATCCAGATGGCCACCGCCTCCTCTTCCTTTCTCCTCCCTTCCGTATCTCTCAACAACCTCTCCTCCTCCAGAAATGCCTCCTCTTCCCTCGGATTCTCCACCAAGAATCTCAACCGATCTAAGGTTTCTATGAGCGTCTCCGCCGGATCTCAGATCAATGTCAACGACTCTCTGTTCGTTGATTACAAACCCACCTCTGCTTTCCTCTTTCCCGGTCAGGTAAATCTCCAAATTGCTATCAAATTCTGGGTTTTCACATTGCTGAACAAAATGTGGTTTGTATATTGATTTCATCTCAAGTTAGGTAATATCGAAATGCAAAGGTTCCACCTTTACAGATTAATATGATTGTAATTGTAATGCAAAAGTCCTGATCAGACATTTATGTTGATTGATCATAATCCCTCAGTAAAACAGAAACCAGATCACACACTGTGAAATCTAATGAATGAGGTTGAAAAAATATTACAGGGAGCTCAAGCAATAGGGATGGGCAAAGAGGCTCAGAGTGTTGCTGCAGCTTCTGACTTGTATAACAAAGCTAACCATATCTTAGGGTATGTATCTATCTTCCCCTTTTGCTTGTTTAGAACTTTTTGTTTCTTTGTTTGTTTTAGTGACTGAATATAAATGGGGGCTTTCAGGTATGATCTTCTTGATATATGTGTTAATGGACCAAAAGAGAAGCTTGATTCCACTGTCATCAGCCAGGTTCATCTTCTTTCTGTTTTCTTTTGAATCTCATATTTGCAATCTTGGTTTGGGAGACACAAGAAGTTCTACCTTTTTATGATGTTCATGTATGTATGTATGTATGGTCTCTTAATGGTTTCTCATTTTTCTCAGCCTGCTATTTATGTCACAAGTCTAGCAGCTGTTGAATTACTCCGCGTCCGTGAAGGAGGCGAGCAGATAATTAACTCGGTTGATGTTACATGTGGTCTTAGCTTGGGAGAGTACACTGCTCTTGCATTTGCTGGAGCCTTCAGGTTAGTTAAATCATACAATACAACACTGTCTCATCATATCTTATAGGATACTGAATTCAAGACAATGTAAAGATATTATAAGGAACACATGTTACTTTGTTCCATTTACCTGTCTGCACAATTGACTTATCTTTCTTCTTTTCTCTGTTACTGCTTTTACTCTCAAGCTTCGAGGATGGGCTAAAGCTTGTAAAACTTAGAGGAGAAGCCATGCAGGTACGATTCTATAACTTCATTGATTATGTTTTGATTGTCTGCTTAACCTTTGTAACTTTGAACATCTGTTTGATCACCTTTTTTTCTTATTAACTGCTTTTTCAGGCTGCTGCGGATGCTGCTAAGAGTGCCATGGTTAGTATCATAGGATTAGACTCTGAAAAAGTTCAGCAGTTGTGCGATGCAGCAAATCAAGAAGTAGATGAAGCTGACAAAGTTCAGATCGCAAACTACTTATGTCCGGTACATATATTATTATGTCCTCCATGAATCTTTTGCATTATAACACTTGTATAAAACCCTTTTCACATTGCTTTCTGTTTACAGGGCAATTACGCAGTATCTGGAGGTCTCAAGGGAATCGAAGTTGTTGAAGCCAAAGCTAAGTCATTCAAGGCTCGAATGACGGTATCTTTCTCTCTCTCTGATTCCATTATCTTATGTTATGTTGTGTCTTTCTTGAGGCTATAATAAAACATGGTTGTTGGCTGTTTAGGTTCGTCTAGCTGTAGCAGGTGCTTTCCACACTAGTTTCATGGAGCCAGCGGTGTCGAGACTAGAAGCTGCATTGGAAGCAACGGAGATCAGAAGTCCGAGGATCCCAGTGATCTCAAACGTCGATGCACAGCCTCATGCAGATCCAGACACTATCAAGAAGATACTTGCACGCCAGGTAAACAAAACCAATACTCAGTAAAAGCTAAAGTATTACTTTTTTATTTATTTTGTGGAACGCAAAGATAAAACAAGAGTGTTGGAAACTTAGGTGACATCTCCAGTCCAATGGGAGACAACGGTGAAGACTCTCTTAGCCAAAGGACTTAAAAGCAGCTATGAATTGGGACCTGGAAAGGTAGTTTTCTCTAGACTTGTAAATCCAAGTTATTATAGGTTGAATTTTCTTCTTCTCCGTCGTCTAAGTTATGTGTGTTTATGTGGTTCATACATTCAGGTGATTGCAGGGATATTCAAGAGAGTAGATAAAACCGCCAGTGTCGAAAACATCAGTGCTTGAGACACTCTGGCTACCCAGCTAGCTTTTTATTTATGTATTTTGAGTTGAGGATCTCTCTGGTGCTTGAGCAGTTTTGGAATTTTAATTTTTGTATCGAATAATTATGTCAGTTAACACCATATTTGTTGACATATATCTTTTATTTAAGTTCCAGTTTCATCTTACGACAAATTCTCGAGTGTGTTCTATGATTCTATCAACTGGTTTTTTTCAGTTTAAGCTAAAATTACTGCGATTTAACCAGAAAAGGGAAAAAAAACCTAAAATTACTGCGTTAAGAAAAAATTATTGTCTAAAAACAACAGGAAAGGATGAAGCTCAGTTTAAAGCGAGGTTTATATCACATCCGAAGATTCATCACCACAGCTCAAGATATTTTCATCATCACTCATCCTTTTTGCACCAGCCGAGAATCGAACCCGGGTCTGTACCGTGGCAGGGTACTATTCTACCACTAGACCACTGGTGCTGATTGTTTATTATCTTTGTGTGTACTTATTTCTATATTTCAAAAATGCGGAAGACTATTTCATATGTTGTTAAGGTTTCTTCGGCTACGCTATTTTATGTGTTGTTTGTTTGCTCTAATTAGACGGGTAATTAATAATTATGATTTTTCCATGATCCGAGTTGTAAGCATTTGAACATGACATTGTGGAGAAGGATTAATAAAAGAACATGAATATGTATGTGGTCACAAATTGAAAATAAAAATGGGTTTTAGAAATTAAAGAGAGTTCAGTGAAAAGGCAGATGCCATCTTTAGCAGGAAGGTGAGCAAGGACCCAACCATCGCCAAAGGCCCAAAGGCAACATCGTATCACCTCAACAAATGCGCCTCATCCAGAAATCAAACAGAGGTCTGTACCATCACGCTACCATGGCAGGGTACTACACTATCCTACTGGTGCCAAGTTGTAAAAGATATATTTTTCAGAGTATTAGTCAGCATTTATCAAGATCAAGCTGTGCCATGTTACCTAATATCCCCCTCCAACAATACTGCAGTTCTGCGATTGCTCTTAAGGGTATAATTATATAGGACTTCAAATCAGTAAATTGGCGCAAAGAATAGAGAAAAATCAAGGCTTGAATCTATAGCCTCGAAGTTAAAGCTATATGACAAACTTAAGGAAAAAGTTCAAGTAATAACTGAAAGAGCGTGGATGTAATCTTTGAAGTTATAGACGTGTACATAAATATCTTGAAGGCAATCTCTTGTACATAAATGTATACATATACATTCAACTCAATGGTGATAGTAAAAATTTTAAATTTATATTGAAGAGCTAAGCAGATGGCAATTACAACTGACAAAGTCAGAAGGATGCAAAGGACCCAACCGTTGCTAAAGCCAATATCATCACAGCTCTACTATAAATTATGCACCAGCCGGGATCGAACCCGGGTCTGTACCGTGGCAGGGTACTATTCTACCACTAGACCACTGGTGCTTGGATTGCTAGATGAGTGAGTAAGATCTACAATATATCAATCTATGTAACAGCAACAACTCAACAAAGACTACTATTAAGCTGAACCACCTGCTACTACAAAGGTGCAGAGGATACAATTCGAGGGAGCGAAGTTGTGATATCAGCCAACAGTCACAAGACAGAGCTAAAACATATTTAAGGATGTTCCAACTGTCTACACAATCATAATGAAACACCATTCCCTCCAACCCAGACGCCTGAAATCATTCCTCAAGTGTACCTAACATAAGCAGCCTGGAAATGAACACTATGGTCTCTAGGAATGAAGTTTGTGACCCAAAAAAAAGGTCTCTAGGAATGAAGTATACGACTAATACGAGGAAGAATTAGGGTAGTGTATACCAAATGTGAAGACAAGGGCCATTGTTACATGTCAGGATCTGTCATGTTCCCTCTCTTGGCTTTCACTAGCTTTATTGAAGATAGAAATATTATATTAGCAACTAAAATATTATACTCTATAATTATCTCAAAACTACTTGAGCACTTTTTTTTCCAATCTATCAATTTCTTCTTCAACACCTTTCTCGACCTTTATATTCGTTGTGCTTAACATCTTTTTGGGTAATATAATTTCTTCTGTAGATTTTAATTTTTTTATTAAATCAATGTTTATAACCATTTTCAGCAATTATAGAACAAACAGTCATTTCGAACAGTTTTTTCAATTAAAAGATCAATATGTATTTTGATCTTCCAATCAAAGAAGATGCTCGAATAAGTGCCATTTGTAGTAAAACACTCCAAAATGTTATTGGTTTGTTGTTAATAGTGCGTCTGTTGAAGAGATAGAGTTATAGATGATGAAAACAACATACATTTATTGAGATTACAGTACAATTTAAGAGAGTACACAAAACGAAACAAAACATAGCGAGAATTTAGTCAATTGACTATTGACTGAAATTAACCAGTTGTATTCTTGTAGAATCCAAGCTTTTATTATCTTCTACATTTTGAGCGGCTAAACATACTCTTTTGACTCAAATAACACGCCCCTACGTTCCCTTTTTTTTTTGTGGTAAAAGTTGTGTTGTGTGACGATAATCACATTTATAAGGTTTGCAGTGTTGCTATCTGTTTCGTATCCTTTTGTCTTGAGTAAAATGTATAGGAAAAATGTTAAGGGAGTTGAGCTTTTGCAGATTGTAATTGGTTGCTGAGGGAACCTTTGTTCAAGATTTTTGGCCAGTCCTTTAAAGCAACAACTGATGTCTTGTTGTTTGTGTTTTCCAACTCATATGTACTAAAGAATTGAGATTCTTGGTGTATTTTTCATAAGCTTTGACACTTAAATAGTTGAAATAAGACACATAATGATATTAGACGAACTATTTGATATAGTTGTATTTTCTCAAATAACAATAATTAACGTTTTCTAACATTAATTTATACTAGATTCATATTGGATAGTTCTAATTACACTACGTTGAGTCACCTTAAAAATTCATACATGATGGTTAAGATTTTTAAAGCATTTTTTCATGAAACAGTATTATTGATGATTAAATCGCAGTCCCTGTACTCAAAATCCAGATATTTTTTGGTACAAAATCAATAATAAACTTTTAATCAAAGGACTAAAAGGGCTTTGTGAGACATTTCCAGGCTCAAATACACATAGAAAAATCAGATGAAAAATTATTCAATGTAGTATTTCCAAAATTTTATTTATAGTAATTCTTCGTATCAACATCTGATTTGAATTTATCAATCACAAAAAGATTAATTGACAAAAAAAAAATTAAAGAGCTCAGTTACAGGGCATTCACATCCAATTTGATCAGAAGAATACGATGGACCCAACCATCGCTAAAGCCCACATCATCACAGCTCCTAATGCACCAGCCGGTAATCGAACCCGGGTATGTACCGTGGCAGGGTACTATTCTACCACTAGACCACTGGTGCTGATTGCTTACATTCTGACCAATATTATATATGTACGCTAATCTATACAAATTCACAAAGTAACAGCCACATGATGAAAACAGAGTAGAGAGAGAGAACAAAAAGACAATTCGTTTCAGGAAAAATGGCGATTCCGATGACGAGAATGATGGTTCCCTCTTCACTTCGTCTCTCGCCTACGAATATATCCAACTCCACTCGCTTTGCTTTTCTTTGTCGCTGTGCTCCATCAGAACTCCAACCACTTCGGTCTGCTTGCTCTCTTTTCCCTCTACTCTCTTCCTTACTCTTCGAACTTGTTAAGTTGAAGTTACTTTGTCGGAACTGAAAAACCATTTGTCAATATGTTGAAATTTCTTTAGGACTGGACTCTCTCTGTCCGCGGGAGTTCATGCTATCCCGCATCCAGATAAGGTACTTCTGTTTCTTCCTTTTGGTTGTGTAATGATGCCCACAATAAAGAGAAAGAGATTATGTGTTTACTGTTTAGTGGGGAGTTATGAGATTGAAAATAGACCCTTTTAGTGTCGACCTTTTATAGGTAGAAAAAGGTGGGGAAGATGCTCTCTTTGTAAGTAACTATAGAGGAGGTGTCATAGCTGTTGCAGATGGTGTTTCCAGGTAATTTAAAATTGTTTTTTTTTTAATCTTCTTGTAGCTCATCTGGTTTTATCTTGGTTTTTGATTAAATTATATTATCTTTTTATCCTTCAGCTGGGCTGAACAAGATGTTGATCCTTCTTTGTTCTCGAAAGAGCTTATGGCTAATGCTTCTCGTCTTGTTGATGACGAAGAGGTACTTTTGAAATCTCACTGTGGAAGTCTTAATCTATCTTATGAGTGTTTTTTTAATTACGTTTTGGACACAGGTAAGATATGATCCTGGTTTCCTCATTGACAAAGCTCATACCGCAACTACCTCCAGAGGTTCTGCTACAATGTGAGATTTGAATTATATCCCTCATTGCTATTCTCTTCAAAGGTTGTTTGTCCATTTTTCGATAGCTTGATGATGTGGGGGTTATTGGTGAAGTAGTATTGTAGCCATGCTTGAGGAAGTTGGTGTTCTGAAAATAGGCAATGTTGGAGACTGTGGACTCAAGCTTCTTCGACAAGGTCTATTTTATTATTTTTTCTTGAAAGAACCCTTTTTTTGCAATTCCTATGATGCAATTGGAGCTTATCGGCAGAAAATAATCAATTTAGATAGTCCTTTGTGGCTTCGGTGGCAATTAGATCTTCTTATCCTTCTGTGACCTTAAATACTAGATTGTTTCAGTGTTCAGCCTTTGAGGAATAGATTTTGTTTCATTCTCATTCTGCAGGTCAGATAATATTTTCGACTACTCCACAAGAGCATTATTTTGACTGTCCCTACCAACTAAGCTCTGAAGGGTCTGCTCAAACCTACCTAGACGCCTCGGTAAATAAATCTCTACCAAGGTTTATGATTTGTTCTCTAGTACTGTACTACCGCTGTTGTAACAGTCTTTCTTATTACTTCGAGCAGTTTCACATAATGGAAGTAAAGAAAGGAGACGTGATCGTGATGGGTTCAGACGGGCTTTTCGATAACGTATTTGATCATGAGATTGTTAACATAGTGACCAAGCATACAGATGTGGCAGAATCATGTATGCATAACATTATAAATGAATCATCTGTCTTTGTATATCTAATCTTAAGTGACATTGTTTTTGGTGCAACTATTACAGCGAGATTACTAGCTGAACTGGCGAGTATTAATTCAAGAAATCCAGGATTTGAGTCTCCATATGCATTGGAAGCAAGAGCCAAGGTTGGTTTTCATCAAACCAAGAATGAATTTTCTGGTTTTGCGTTTTGACTCAGTTTGTATACGGTTTGACATACACAGGGGTTTGATGTTCCTCTCTGGAAGAAGGCATTGGGAATGAAGCTTACAGGTAAAAAAAAATTGATAGTTCCATTATTACAGAAAGAGCAGTTTCTGAGTTTGATCTTTGGTTCTTGGAAAAAAAATGCAGGAGGGAAGCTTGATGATGTGACTGTTATCGTTGCCCAAGTGGTGGACTCTTGAGTCTATGTGATCTTTTCTCATTATTCTTTTGTACAAGTCCTTGTACAAAAGAAACTTGACATTGTATTGGATCAACGAAATTGAATCTTAATCCTCTATAACGCTCATCTATTTTTTTCAGTATATTCCATAAAAATACAAAATTTTCTAACGACAAAGCAAATCAGACAACATTATTTCGTGAAGCAGATTAGTATACAAACTCTAAGAACCAGCAGTTGCAGCGCTATGAAGAATTAATTTACCTGAATCAGGCAAGCAAATATAAAGCCAAACGCAAGTTTGTGCTATCATCATCTTCTTCAAGCTGGGGCATTGACATCATGAAAGAAGGATTTGACAGTTTCATAAGTGGACCAGCAGATGGCAGCTGCAGGAGCATGGAAGAGCATTCTTGGTAGCCATCCTCTAGCAAGTCCTCTATATCCGTCTTTCTTTATTATTGTGCGAAACACCTCGCTTATAGAACTGCTCTTGAATCGGTCACAACCGCACACACCCTGAAACATATCACCACAGAAAAATTCTCAAGGTTTGATCCATTCTACATCAGACATAATCTAGCATACCTATTTTTTTTATCTTAAAGTATCCAACCGGTGTTGTAAAATCGGTCTAGGCGGCGTCTACCTAATCAATAAATCCGGTATGAACGAAATGATTTTTCAAAAGACATTTAAAAAAATAATTTGTTTATACATTCAAAAAATCGGTCTAGACGCCCGCCTAATCAATAATCTTCTATAAACGCTTAAGTATCTTCTATAAATCACTTAACCACCCCCTAGCGATTAGTTCTACCAATCACATTAGTTCTCTAATACTCAGAGACAGTTGTTTAGACTCCAAATCTTACCTGACATTGCAACTGCGTCTTGACAACATCAAGCGGAGTAGTAACAAGAGCAGCCAAGCCACCACCTGCAGCTCCAGCAGTAGCATAAACCAACAAACCTTCCTCCTCCTCCTCTCCACCACCAACATACTCCGGCAAAACCCCCCTCAACCCCCTCTTAACCGCCTCATACGTCGCGAAATGAACCGCCGTAAACGGAGCATTCATAAGCACAGTCGTCCTATACGAAGCATAAAAAGCACCAAACCCTTCCTCCCTCATAACCCTCTTCACACAATCCCAAACCCCTCCATACATCCCCTTCCCTATCTGCAACCTCTGCTTAACCATATCCATCGGAGTAAAAACAGCATCACTCGCCACAGTGGCCAACACTCCCGAAACCGCGTGAGCCGCGGAGTTATTAGGATTCCCACCGGATAGATACTTCTTGGACACTTCGTAGAAGGAGAAGTAGACGGCGTGGGCCGGTCCCGCGCCGAGTCCCATGGCCCAAATGCCTCGGTAGAGAGCAGATGGGCCTTCGGTTTTGATGATTGAGCGGAAGGCTTGAGTGATTCCCACTGGCTTGATTGGGCACGAGCGGATGGTTTGCATGTGGGTCTTGATTGTGTCGACTGGGAACATCGCCATGTGTTCGACGGAGCCGGCTATGGAGCCGGCGATCATTAGGTGGTGGAAGCGGAGATTGTCGGTTTTTTGAGATGGGATGAGGACGGCGGGGTGGAAATCTGGGGGTTGTGGGATTGGGCGGAGGTCGGGTGTTGTGGCGGCGGCTTCTGTCGCCATTGTTTTGGGAAGTCGAGAGGAGGGAGAGGTTGTTTAAATTAGGGTTCCAGGAAAGTTGGAGAGTTATTGCTAGTTCACTCTGGGATCTCCGACAAGAGAGTTGCGGTTTGAACTCAACTTGGGCTTTACATCTTTTCCTCTAATTAAAGTATATACTCCCCTTGTGTTTAAGGTTTTTGTAATTGATTAAAAAATACAATTTTTTTATATAATTTGTCTTTATCAAGACATCTTTTTATATAATTTATCATACATGTAAAAAAATTAATAAATTTTTGTTAACGTTTTGGTTTTTTTTTCTGTAGTTTTAATTTTTAGAAAGTTTAAATGATGATTTCGTTTGAAATTTTAACTAACAAATTTGTTAAATTTATCTAAAATTTATAATAAAAGATTAATTCGAATATTATAGCGTATAAAATAATTTAAATCAAGATGTAGGGGATTTAACAATATGAATCAATTGCCTTTGTATGTTACAGAAACACTATAATGTCTGAATTAATATTCTCTATTATTAACTTTATATAAATTTAACCAAATTTTTTTGTTATAAATATTAATTTATTATAATTTAATAAATTATTTATAGAGAAGTATTATTATTTGTAAGATCTTTATTCATGTCTTTTTGCTACAAATAATAAGAATATTTGTTTATCAAAGAGCCATATCTTCACGTAGGATGTATTAATAGCAATAGTGTGTTGGACTAACACAGACATATTGTACCTGGACTATTTACAAAATAAAAATAAAAAAATTAATATATTTAGAATTATTTAATCATAGATAATGAATAATTATATTTTATATTAACAAAATTAAAAATAATTATATATTATAAAAAATTGGTAGAAATGCATAAAATTTATGTAATTCATTAATTTAAACAGGCAAAGTAATAGCTATATTCTTAAATAAAAATGGAATTACAATGTAGTAAATGTATGATACATGGCAATATCTTTTTTTATGGCAATAAATAGATTTTAATTCTTAGATATTAGCTATTTGATTATTCTGTAAATATTGGGTTTTCTACTAATTTTTTTTTTAAAATAAATTAAAAAGATTTATAATTAAATTATTTTTATAAATGTGACATTACTAAAAATAAATAATTAGTTAATTTTTTTTCTTTGTCTATGAAAGTTTTATGTTTTCATATTATATTTTAGATGTAAAAGTTTTTATTTAACTTTAGTGATTTGAAATACTTTCTATTTTATCATTTTAATCTTTTTATTAATATTTTATTATATTAATACATCAATATAAATATTTGATTAAGAGGAAAAAAAAAGTATTCAAACCCACGTACATTTGTTACGAAACCAACAAGACATGGTTTTGGGTTTTTGCTTGAAAATATGTAGTTAATACAAAATCTGGTTTTCCTATGTTTTAAGAAATCTATTTTCTCAAAATCTTATTGGTAAAAAAATGGTTTTCAGAAAAACTAAAACCAAAAACTGTTTGAAAAACCACAAACAATCAAACCTCTTAACTACTAAAAAAACTTTTGTTTAATTATGAACATATATGTAGTTTAAACACAACTTTTTTCTCTATATAATCTGGATCCAACATCAATGTCGTCATATTTCAGTTTTCATGTGTAATTCAATCTATATGAATAAAAAAAGTTTGCCAATCACAAAAAAATAATAGCGTGAGAGCTCTGGAACAAGTAGGATTGGGCAATTGAGGTCCCAATTGAATTTCCGTTCGGGTTCATTTGAGTTTCGAATTTTCGGGTTCATTCGGGTTTCAGGTTTTCGGGTTCATGAATTTCAACTCCATTCGGATACTATAAAAATTCGGGTCAGATTCGGTTCGGGTTTATTAACATGTCCAAGGTTCGTTTAAACCCGAAATAGTTTCGATTTCGGATAATAATCAGACTATCGGTTCTAAAAAACTAATTTATACTCAATTAAATTCACTATATTTCCAATAGTTTTATTAAATTTGTGTATTTAGCTTCTACAAACCATATTGTTCTCTTTCAAAATAATATTGTGAAACTAGTCTATCAATCATATAAGATTTGTCATTGAACTATATGTGACAACACTAAACATATCATGATTAATGACAAACCAATTAAATCCTTGTATTAACGAAAATCATACATAATAAAACATAAAAAGTTAAAGTTAACAACTATTCTATAAACGTAAGAAATACTATTTAAACTTAAAAAAAATATTATTAAACTTCAAAACAACTTTATTCGTAACTTAACTTAATGTCAATCATAAACATTAATATTAATCAAATAACACTATATATTAGATTAAATATTTGAGTTAATTATTCATATCATAACTAATTATTGTAAGTACTCAATAATATATTAATGTATTTTGGAAACATATTAGAAATTTAGATTGGGTATGATACAAGTTTTTTTGGAATTTTAAAGTTTCGGGTTCTTTCGGATATCTATTTAAATTCGGATTCGGTTCGGGTAAAACCCATAACCCAAAATACCATAAAACAAGACCCATTCGGTATTTATATCGGGTTCAGATGGGTTCGGATTCCTTTTTATCTGATTGGGTTCAGTTTTTTTGCCAGCCCTAAGAACAAGGATCGGTGATGTCATTGACATTCCATGATTGGTTGAAATAAAATGTCGCAGCAATACATTAAAAAGTCAGCGCCACTCTGTCTTCTCTCTATATCTTTCACGTTTATGTTCTTGTTCAATCGCAGTTTGACCATCCATTTCTATGTCCTTCTCTCGTTCAGGTGATCATGAAGCACTGAGGTTTTTTTTTCTTTGACTAAACATTAAGTACTGTTTTTCTTTGACTAAACACTAAGTGTTTGCTTCTATTTTTATTTTATTTGTTTGCTTCGTGACTTAATCCTAATCCGAAACTTATTTAAAGGTTAACTTTAGTTAATACTGGCTTCTCTTGTGGCTCGGTATAGATGGTTGTGAAACAAGGTGTTGGGTGACTCGGTTTCGTTATAAATTGTGTGCTTTACACGTCTCTGGCTAACTTTATTTTCGTCTGTTCGAAACCTTTTCATTTTTACTATTAAATGCAACTTTTTCTTTACTCCTTTTTCCATGATATCGATTTATTATATGGAATGAATCTCATCTTTCTTCATAATTAAGCAATCCATGCCTCTTCTTCTCTTTTCCGATCGCTATTTAATGGCAGTCTCTGTCTTTTTTCCTTCATAAGCAAAGATTTTTTTGGGAGGATTTAGAAGATATTCCAAACCGTTGTAAACTCGGAATGGCTTTTCTGGAGAGTGAAGTGGTGCCATCGGCTCTTGTGGAGGTTGCACCAATCCTTCGTGTAGCCGATGAAGTAGAAGCTAGTAATCCCCGTGTTGCTTTCTTATGTGAGTTGGAATAATGTAAAAATCTCCTAATTAATGATGTCATTGATCATTGGTCAAAAGATTTTTAAAAAAGTTTCCTTGGTATGTTTTTTCTCAGGTCGGTGTTATGCGTTTGAGAAGACATGCTAGATTGATCCCACGTCAAGTCATCGTGGTGTTCGCCAGTTCAAGACTGCGCTTCTTCGACGCTTAGAACATGTATCATTACTTAATAATTTAATATATACTTTACTTGAGTTTCATTTTACTTTTGTCTTAACTTGCCAATAATATCGTTGCTGCATGGGGAAACTACGATTTATACTTTACCATATTTGTTAAACTTTAATTTGCAGAATGAAACAGTTCTTCCAGGAAGGAAGGGTAGTGATGCACATGAAATGCAAAGTTTTTATCAACACTACAACAAGACACTATCCAGCCTTTGCTAGACGCTGCTGATAGAACTGACCGGTATGTGTTTTAGAAGTGTTTACTCGGATCTGCGTTTTATATCTATTGGAGTCAATCTTTCTGTGTCTTAATTTCATTCACCAATACAAAATTTGTTTTGCTTAGTGCTCAACTTAAAAAGGCATATCAAACTGACGCTGTTTTCCTTGAAGTCTTAAAGTGGGCTAAAGTGGAAGTGGCTGATGAGGTGAATCTAATAGTAGAATATGTTTTGTTAAATCTCTTACTTTTCTTCTTATAAGTCTTAAGCCAAACCTTTCATGGAAACACTATGATACTCTCTTGAATTGGGTATTAAACTATTGGCTTACTTGTTTATTTTTTCTTTCTTGCTGGTAGGTTTTGGAAGCCCACACAAAGATTAACGAAAAAATCCAGATTTTATGTGCCTTGGATGACGATGATGGCATTTTTGAGGAATGCCCATCTCAACAACCATTTGCATCACAAATTGGATTTAATGAATCCAAATTTAAAGTTGAAAATGTTGATCAAACATCTTCTATAAAAGAAGAAAACAAAGACAACATTATAGAAGAAGGAAACAAACAACTTTTAGAGCAATTGAAGAAGATAAACGCACAAATACAACAGTTTTTGGATATTCAAAGTAAAACTTACGCACTGAAAGAAATTAGAGAAGAAAACAAAATCTTACTGATGGACTTGAGTTCTATACAAAATCCGCATATTCGTTCATTTATGGAGGGTGAACAAACAAGGATTTTGCAAAAGCGAAATTATCAATACTGATACTAAGAATCTATCCTTTGATATACTTGTGTTTGACAATATTCTAAAAATGATCTACCAGATGATTAATTCAACAGTCTTTGTTGTGTTTGTATTTAACTTTGCTACTCTCTGTGTTCTGTAATTTAAAGTTACTTGCAATTCAATATATGTCAGTAGAATTATAAAAATGTTGTACATTATTAGTCTATAAAATCGTATTATATCCAAGAAGAAAGTTTTTTTTTTAAATATAACTTATAAATTATTTTTTTTTTAAATTTTTTTGTATATACACTCTTATATGTGACTCTTTTAAGCAATGTTTTTAAACCCGACCCGGACGACTTACCGGGTCATTGGGTCATTGGGTCGACCGCGGGTGAACCGCATGTTAATAAATGAAACTATATTATATAAGCTATGAAAATAAAAATATAGAAACTAAAGTTAAATATTTTCTAAATGTTTTTAAAACATAAAATGTATATAAATATATAAAATATCAAAAACTAGTTTAGACTATTTAAATTTTTATAACAAGTTAAGAGTAATGACATCTAAAACAATCAAGATATAAAATTCATAAATATTTAATTATATAATCTATATAATAATGATTCACTTTTGAAGCTCCTAAGGCTATCCACATCAGCAGCCGAGTGGGTTCCGCGTATTTAAATTTTAAAAGCTTATAGTTTTTTTAAAATGATTATGAACAATGAATACACTTTAGCAAAGTGGTATAAGGCATTTAATTAAGTTTGCAAGTGCGTGGGTTCAAACCACGCAGTTGTTATGTATTTTATTTTTTTCGTTTGGATTATTATCATATGGGCTTTTTAGTTTTAATGTTTTTATGTTTTTTTTTCCTCTGGACTTATTGTTTAAAGTCCAAAATAATGGAAAAATCCTAAAGTTTGACGAACTCAAACCCAAAAAATTTAAAAATGGATCAAAAAATGAATATCCAAAAAAAGAAAAAAAAAATGAGTCTCACGCGGCACTATCATGTCCTAATATATATTTTTACTATTAGAACATATTTCCTAATATATATTTTTTCAAAAAATTATGTATGTGAAATAAAATAAAATAAATAGTTTTGTTGTTTATAAAATAACTATGTAATTTCTCTTCAATTTTTAATAGTTACTATACTTTCATTTTTATCAGACTCCGGCGGATGGATTTCCACAGTCAATGACGCCGTAAAAAAAATATCACATTATTCATGAACAAAATCCAAACTTACAAAAAAACATATCCAAACCTATCTATTGAAACCCAAACAACAAATATTAGCTTAAATTAAAGTTATTTTCAAATTGATAAATCGTTTAGTACAAATATAAATATTATAAATAAATATTTATATCAAGTTTTGACATCCGATATAAAAACTATTTCCAACATAAAAAACAATATAGACATCTATTTTTATACACTAAAAACTATATTATAATTTAGTTATTCCTATAAACCTTATTTCGCATATAAATAACATTTAACACATTATATATACAATATTTTCACTTTGCACTCTTGCTACATTCTTTCCATTTCATCATTATTTGGTATTATTAGAATAACCCACTAAACCAACAACCGAAAAAAACAAAGATCCCGGCCCCGCGCTTGCGCGGGGGTTATGCAGCTAGTGAGAATAATAAATTAAACTTCAAATCCAAAATAAACCAAAAGTAAAACATCATTGTAATAAATTATAAATAACAAAAATAAACTAACACCAAATCACATCAACTAATTTTGGTTCTAGCTACCACCCTTCAGTTCATTTTCTTCAGGTGGTATAGTGAAATCTTCATCAAAATTTAGAAATCTTAGATAAAATAGTGTACTAGGTATTATGTATGATAAAAAGTCAGAAAGTTTAATCTAAATTTAAAGAAGAAGACGGCAATACCAATAACTAAAACGTGATAACCTAACTTTTAAAATTAGAAATTTAGAATATAAAACAGAATAAAAACATAATTCAAAACTAAAAAAAAAAGAGTAAAAGTTTATTTATTGGTTCAACCGGCATCGGGTTTTGAGTTTTAGTGGATTTTCCGGGTTTTTGCGGGTATTTAAATTTTAGATTTTTAACAAAATCCGAACCGGATTTATTTTGGGTCACCGGGTTTACCGGTTCAACCGCAGATCCGGATTGGGTTTCAAAACACTACTTTTAAGCCTTACCATTTTACTTGGATTTAAATACCTGAACCGATCTGGACATGTATAAGTTATACATATCCAAAAATTAATTACACGTATTTTATAGCTATCTGGATTACAAAGTCGAATTTAGCTAGACTCAAAAAGAACCGATTATAGTAAAATTCATATGCCTAATTGAGTATATGTCTAAGATCCAAACAATCCAGACTTGAAAGGAACCAATTTGTATTTGACACAAAGATCCAAATGCTCGTGTCTACCTTTTTACTATATTTTATGTGAATTTCATAACATGCAAATTTGTTTTTGTAATTAAATGTGTCTTTAAAGGAACTACAATAAACCCTCCATAAATTAATAATGTTGAAACTTTGAAAATTGATTCATATATAGAGATATTAATTAACAAAATTTTCTTATTTAGATTTTTATCTTCAAATAATATTTTTCTAAAATAATAAAAAATATTTGATTCTAGTGTATAAACATTAATTATTATTTTTTAAAATTTTGATATTTATATAAATTTTCTTATATTATTTTGTGGATATAATAAGGATATATATTGCATAGTTACGAAATACGGTTTTAGACATAACATTACCAAATCTTATCAAAGATATAATAAGTGTTACGAAAACATTAAAAAAATTCTATAGTGAATATAAAACAAACAATATAATGATATGTTCTTACTTATATAAAATATGTATACATATAATTATTAAATTATAATTTTAATGGGACCATATATTGACATAGTTTTTTAAAAAATAATATCTTAATATTTTATCGATTTGTGTCGAATTTTGAACCGGCCCAAGTTAGAATCGACAAAATTTATTAATTTATAGAAATTATTAATTTACGAGTATTAATTTATAGAGGTTTTACTATACCAAACAAACCGGCTGTAGTTAAAGCAAGTAATAAAATCCCATAACCATAAATGAAAACAAAGAAACTTTTAATTTCAAATATCGTTTATTCAATAATTGATTGATTGCATTAGTTACATTATAATAAATTTGTTAATTCATAAATTAGAGATAGTTAATTTTGTGCTAATTGATTGATGCAATTACCTTTTATGTTCCATATTAATAGGAATGTAGGATCAACTACTGTACCAAACTTACCATGCTAATAAGAAATATTTGTTTGCTTCATTCAAATAACAATAACAAAATATTAACAAATCCCGAGATCTTTTTCCATTTAATTTCAGTAACAATAATAAAACAAATTATTTTCATAGCCATTGTTGTATTTTAAGCTTTGTTAAAATAAATATCTGAATTATTATTTATAATATTAGTTGTATAATGAATAACTAAGATAAGACCTGCGTCTTGCGCATGGTGAATATATGTAACTAAAATATAAAATTTTAGTACTGACAAATTTAAAATTTACATATGATTGTTTCTATATGTATTTGCAATTTTAGAATTTTGGAACTTTTATATAATTATCTATACATAGGATCAGAAACAATTGTAATTAGAACTGTAGATCAAATCTTAGAATTTAGAGATTTAATGGACCTGATTTCATATATCTATTCACTTTTCAGTCTTCGAGTGATGGAAAATAAACTGAATGTCGTTGGGCTTAATTAGTAGAGTATTAGCAAGTTCTCTAATGTTTTTTAATAAAGCAGTTGGTAAAATATTTGCATTTAAAATATGTAAAGTTTCAAAAATAATTTAATATAATTTATTTATTTGTCTGATAATATTAGAAAATTATATTTTTAAAATAATTTTATATTAAATTAAATGAAATTTTAAATTATTTTTAAAAACAATATTTTAAGTTTTTTACATACAAATAAACAATTTAAAATTAATTATGGTCATGATTTAACATAACCATAATATTTAAAAAATTGAAAAATTTCAAAATTAACAAATTAAAAATTAACTCAGTTTTATATCATGATTTAACAATTTAAAAACTAATTATGGTTATGAGAAGTTTACGTTCACGTGTCAATCCTATTTATCTTCAAATTTTTCTCTTGTTGTGTTTTTTTTTATATTTTTGTTATTACTTGATATAAATATCTATTTTGAAGTTTATTCTAATTTTGTTTGTTTGTTTTGACCTGAGATTTTGAAAATACTTAAGATTTAGAATAATTAAAGATATACATACTTAGGTTAAGATCTGGAATTTATGCATAATGAGTATTTTATATTTATTATTTATTTTATATTTTTATGCATATTATAAAATAATAAATATATATATTAAATAACTAAGAAATCAGTTACTATTATGTAATAAATTGGCGTATGCATATGAATTTAATTATCTCTTCTGTTTATTCGCAATTAGGGTAAATAAATCAAAATAATCAATCTTATATATTGTATATGATATATATTTAAATTTAAATGATATAAACATAGTAATATAGCACAATTTTAATATAGATATTTATTAAATGAAGTTCCTACTCATATGATTTTATGATTATTTGCATATTTGTGTAACAAAACTTTACACCAACGCATTTTTTTAATGTGAGATGTTTAGTAGTTTCAATAATTTATAATCATTTTTTTTGAAAAACATAATTCAACATTAAAATATTAAATTTTCAATATATGTTCAAGGCAAATATCAAAATATAAGTATGTATTTTCATACGATGTATAGTTTAATTAAAACGATATGAAATATATATAAAATAAAATTATTTCTTCATATGGTCTTATCATCATTATATTTTAATATAGAAAAAATTAAAACCATGATCCTAAAAATTTATGTGAGACTTTTAACAGTTTTAGTAATTTATAATCATTTTGAAAATTTTGAAATAC